GACAACTAAAATATCTTAGTTTTGCACGTGACCATGTGAACATATTACTCTTGAAGCTCCTCCCAGGAGCCTCAAAAGGGCCTGTGTGAATGAGTGGGCTTTGAGTTGAAGCTGCATTAGCTTCATGATAAGTTTACTACCACTGTGTTTATTTTATTTTGCCTTCTTTAACGACTAAAACTATTTATGTTCACATCAACCATGGAAATTTAAAAACCCTGCTTGCACATAGTAGACGCTCAATGCATGTTTTTCTTTCTTTTTACTGTTTAAAATATGACGTGTCTCCTCCCCCCTCCCCCCCTCACCGCTCCTTCTCCCGAGGACAAGCCCACAGCCCCGGGCCTGTGTCCGTTGGTGATGCTAATGTGCATGCCTCCATGCACGTCTTTAAGACTGAACCAAACCCACATATTTGGACACATCGTTCAAATGAAATGATTCTTACCTATTATAGTAACTAAAAATGCGTTTCACCAACCCGATAATGTCATTCACCCCCAACCTCTACCCTACACACACACACACACACACATACTTCAAGTGTTCCTTTCATTGAATGATCAGGAAGCGGACACTCTGGAAATATACCAAGTGAAAACAAAAAGTTAATGTTCTTAAACATGATTTCACTATTTCAACCTTCTCCACAAACATTCTTCCTTTCAAATCACACAGTGTATTATTCCAAAGCCCTTTCCTCCACCAAATTAGCATGAAGCCGATAAGCTTGACTGGTTGTATCCCCCTTTCAGATTCCAAACAAAGCCCAATGTCCTCTGACCAGGGACCCGCTATTAGTATGCATGCGGGCTTTCATTGTTCCTCCCAGGAAAACCTGTCACCAGCCTGAAGATTGCTTTAACTCAAGATATGATCATAATTTTTTAATGTTCTTTACACATCTAAAGCTAAAGGTACATCAAACATTTTGAAACCAAAATGTGAAAAAGTTGTTTCTGTCAGATGGATATTTAGGCCTATGAGGCTGCTGAGTCCATGCAATGAGTCTTATCTCTAATATTATTTTATTAATAATAATTCATGGCATCCCAGGAAAAAAGCATCATAATCTTGTGAAGATCTGGAATACACCTTAAATTCCATTAATGACTACTTCCTAAAGAATGTGTATACCAAAATGTGTCCTAAATGCCAGTAGGCTGTATTTTAAGAGGCTGAATGCCTTTAACTCATTACTAATGGTGTAAAAGTGAAAACTTAACTTTTGTGACAACCAAACAATAAGATCCTATTATGACAAGAGTACATAAACACTGGAAGCATTTAGATATTTATAACATCATTTGCGGGCCATACACAATTACCAACTTAAAAATTAGCCTGCTGTCTTCGGTCAAACATTTAACTCCCCTAATGCCGTGGCAGGGCCAAAACAAATGGTTTCGAGGGCTTATACGGCTCGGCCAGACGTTCCCCACCCCGGTAGATAAATTTTATTTATCTGGCTGCTAAATAAAATTATTCTTCACTGTGTTCTTAATATTGGTCTCACTTCCATGCTTCCCACATGTTTCACCATTTTTCTACTTTTAAAATCATGTATTTCTAATTTCTTAATTCAAACTGGATGGGAGTATTCTGGATGTATCAATAATGTTAAAAGTAAACAAGAACTAAAATCTATTACTACTGCATTAAATCCCAAAACAAGTCAAGAAAGTGTTTGAGGTGCTATTTCTCTCTATGGGACTAAGCGGAGTAAAACTGCTGATAGGGGTAAGAATCAATTGTATTCATTCATTCCACGCAACAGCAGCAAAAGCAGCGGCCCGCTGAAAATTTCACTCGCTTGAGGATTACAGACAAGATCCATTTCTCCACACTGAGCACATCCTGAGCACCACCATCAAGGTTTGCTAGACCAGTGGCTCTCAATAGAAGGTTATTTTGCCCCCACAAACATATGGCCATGTCTGGAGATTTTTTTTACTGTCACGACGAGGGGGAGGTGGTGGACAGTTAGTTATTAGCATATACTGGGTAGAGACCAGGGATTCTTCCAAACATCCTAGGTGGGCACAGGACAGCTCCCCAACAACGAGTTATCCAGACAAAATGTCAACAGTGCCAAGGCTGAGACACCCGGAACCAGACATTTGTCCCAAACAGCTGGATCGGAGGCACCACGGTGGTGTGAAGGGACCACAGGGCTAGGGGAGGATCTGTTCCATACCAAGCCCTGCGTTCCTCACGTTACGTATGTTATCTGACTGAAACGTCTATCCTGTGAAGAAAGTGACCTCGTTTTACAGGCGGGAAGACTGAGCTCAAGGTCACTCCGCTAGGAGGGAGAGGAATCACGATCCAAATTCAAACCACATTTGTTTCATTTAACAACATTACAAACTCTAGAGGTTAAAAGACTTGGGTTTGATTCAAAGAGGTACCAATATGAATTTCCCTAAACCTCCATTTATAAAATAACTCAATGAACTGCGCGTGAAAACGTAAGTGAAAGGTTCAGAAGACATTGTGTCTTCCATAGCCAAGCAACTATTCTTAAAACCTAGAAGGAAAGCTGAGATCGGTTTGGCTTAATGGATAGAGTGTCGGCTTGGGGACTGAAGGGTCCCGGGTTCGATTCCGGTCAAGGGCATGTACCTTGGTTGCGGGGCATATCCCCAGTGGGGGGTGTGCAAGAGGCAGCTGATCGATGACTCTCTCTCATCGATGTTTCTAACTCTCTCTCTCTCTCCCTTCCTCTCTGTACAAAATCAATAAAATATATATTTTTTTAAAAAACCTAGAAGGAAACAAACTGTCTAATATAAATAAAATCTTTGTATGAACTTTTTAAAGATTAAACTAAATGACCCTAAAATGCTCGAGTCTGTAACAACTTTGTTTGCGCTCTCTCAACAACTGGTAGCAGAGGTCAAGAATAAGAGGGTGGATTACAGTGGGTCGCTGCTGCGCAGGGAAGAACTCCACTCTCCTCTCCATAAAGATGGCATGTTACACTGAGGCCAGCGTACGATCACTCGTAGTAACGATGCGAACATTCTCATCTCAGAATCAGGTTCTGATTTTTAAAAAAACAAAACACCCACCACCAGAATCCAACTCTCGGACACTAACCTAAGCCCACAAACATCACTTAAACTATTCTTCAGTATTAAATTCAAGCGACAGTGTAAACCGGGTTTACTCCTTCAGGAAATCCCCACTACCAATGCTGCACACGACCATTTCCCCTTGAAACACTGGTTCTCAAGGCAAGGCTTTGCTTTATTTTATAAATGTGTCTCTTCATATCATACAATATATTGTAAATAAATTATAAATGCCAAGTAGTCCCCAGTAATATAAAGTCCAAGTTTAAACACAATAGATGAAGTAAACTAAAACAATTTTGAAATTATTTCAAAAGAATCAGGAAGGCTAGCTTTAAATTAAAAAAAAAAAAAAAAATCTAGTCCACCCCCTTGGCTCAGTAACTGAGCTTCAATCTATGAACCAGAGGTCACCATGTGATTCAGGTCAGGGTACAAGCCTGGCTTGTGGCTGGATCCCAAGTTGGAGACGAGCAGGAGGCAGCCTATCAATGATTCTCTCATCACTGATGTTTCTCTCCTCCCTCATCCTTACTGGCTGAAACCAATAAAAAGTATATTTAAAAAATTATACTTGACGCTAAAAACAGTAAGTGTTCTACGGGAATTGAAAGAACTGACAACATAATCTTGAATCCTCTTTATTTAATCGATTTAGAGGATTTTCATTAAATGTCATTTTACTGACTAGTTCTGAATTATATCTTTCACCTGAAGCATTTTGACACTCCCATCAACTTTCTAAAAGTGAGGGTGGATTTTTTTTTTTAATGTTTTTATGAGTTGACTCTCAAAAGACAGAACTAGAGTAAAACTGAATCGGAGAAACCATAACCAACCTCCTCCTCATCGTCATCATCAATAAACATGTGAGTAAGCCCTAGCTACGTGTTATGTGTATGTGACAACATGTGACAACCTGGGAAATTTACATTACACAATGACCTAAAACCCATTTTACCTATTTGTCGGATATCATGTCTACTTCTTACTTTAGGAGACTTTTTTTGTTCATCACAACAAATTTTAACACACAGGTAAATAGTGGTTCATTTACAACTTCCAGGTACTATACAAATCGTCATTTAGTCTCTTCTTCAGCATCTCCCGAAATAGCAGACTTCTCCTCAGGGCTCAGATTCCTTTATGTTTCCAAACCCAAAGAATATTGTTGCCAATAAAAAATATATATATACTATTAGATGGCCACTCATCCGCAAAGGTGTCATTTTCCTGACACCCGAATGAACTACCCTTGACAAGATCTTGGTGAAGCTTTTACAGCACCAGGCACATCACAAACACACACGCAGGTCAATGGCCAGGGCAGGGGAGTGCGCACACAGCTTATCGCCGGGACCAGCCCACTGGGACGCAGCCCGCCAGGCCCACCGGTGCCCAGCCAGGCCGGGCCGAGCGAGCCCAGCACCCCCGGCAGGTCCAGTCCCGCAGGGGGGCGGGGGCGCATCCAGGCCGCCCTCAGCCCTCACCACCCCTTTGTGCCGCTGGCCCCCCACACACACTCCTCTGACCTACCCAGGGTCCACTCGGCCACATCGCAAGCACCGGCCCCTCCCACCGTGGGCCTAGGCCCGGGTCTCCTGCGGGAGGTGGGGGAACGGAGTCTGGGAGGAAGGGCCCGGAGCGGGCGGCGGGGGAAAGGGCCGCGGCGGGGGTCTGCCCGCGGGAGAAGGGAGCAGAGGGTCGCGGGGCGGAAGAGCAGGGTCCCCGAGGCGGGGGCCCTCCCTGGGGGATGGGGATCGCGGGGGCGGAAGGGCAGGGTCCCCGAGGCGGGGGTCCTCCCTGGGGAGATGGGGGTCGCGGGGCGGAAGGGCAGGGTCCCCGAGGCGGGGGTCCTCCTTGGGGGATGGGGTCGCGGGGCGGAAGGGCAGGGTCCCCGGAGGACGCGGGCGGCCAGCTCACCGGCAGAGGCAGGCGGCTCTCCCGCGTCGCCGGCGGCGGGCGCCAGGGTGACCCGGCCGTCCCTCCAGACGCGGATCTGCGCGGCCGAGCGCACGCGGCGGCGGGGCTGGCCGGCGGCGCGCAGGGAGCCGCAGCACTGGAAGCACACGGCCCACGCCTGCTCCTCGTTGATGGGCTGGTTGTAGAGCCGCAGGATCTCCTCCAGGCTCAGCGCGTCCTGCGGGCCCCCGGCCGCGCCCGCGGCCTCCCCCGGCTCCGGCGGCCCCTCGCCGCCCGCCGCCGCCGCCCCCCGCGGCTCCCCGCCGCCCGCGGGGCCGGCCGGCTGAGCCATCCCGCGGCTCGGCGCTGCGCTGGACCGCCGCGCCCGTGCCGGCGTCTTCTCAGCCCCGGAGCATCGCCCTGGCGCGCGGCCGCCACCGCCTCCTCATCCCCGGCGGCTCCGCCCTGCCCGCCGCGCGCGCCGCCGCGAGGGACCAGGCGGGGGGCCGGCGCGAGGGCCTGGGCGCCGTGGGCGAGCGCAGGGCGGCGAGGGCTCCCGACGGTCCGGACCAGGCCGCCGCCGCCGCCGCCGCCGCCGCCGCCAGCCCGAGACGCGATGGCGTCCGCCGGCCCCGCCCCTCCCGCCGCGCTCCGCGCTCCCGGTCCGCGCGGTCCGGGGCTCCCTCCGGCTGCCGGTGCGCCCGGGCCCCAACCGCGTCCGCCCGTCCCCACCCCGGCACCACGGGGAGGTCCGCGGCACGGAGTCCGCTGGGAACTGGCGTGCCGAAAGGGGAATGAGGAACTCGAACCCGGCCCGCAGTGAATGCACAATGAAATGAAGGTCTGTGTTAGCAGCGCGGCCTCGGGCGACCCTCCCCGCGCCTCCCGATCAGGCTTCTTGGTGCTGCGGGGGCCTCGCTGCGTCCTCGTCCCCGCACCCAGCTCTGCTCTTTTTGGGTAGCTATCGCCACCAACAAAGCCTACCATTTACTTCACCTTGTTTATTGAATACCTCCTACTGGCTCCCAACTTCACTGTAAGCTCCATGAGCACAGGGATCTGTGGGTTTTGCTTACTGACTTCTCCCAAACGCATAGACCAGGGCCTGGGGTATAGCATGTTGTAAATAATTTGCAGACGATAGTATCGGCCTCCTTCCAGATTCATTTGTGATGTTTGTACATCTCCTCACTGAGATCATGTCTGCAATGACCACTATCATCAAAGGCTAGTTCCCATGATGCGGAAGTGATAACACAGTGGCAAGATTGAATGGAGGGCAATTGGCCGAAGAATAAAAGAAATACTCCTGAGCCTTGCTGAACTCATTAAGTATGCAAAAAGTATAAATCTTAGACAAAATAATCACTTACTGGTAAAAATTTTAATTGGCAACATTTCACTCTGTGTGAGAATCTTACGAGTTGAAAGCATCAAACAAGTAAATTTATTTATAGTTAAGTACCAATAAATCTTTTAAAGGCAGCTTTGATGTGTGAAACTAGACATTGCACACTTAGTATCTGCGGAAGAAATTACAATGGTCGATTCTTAATGCTTAAGGTATTTCAATACATACAGCAGGAGTGGGGAGAAAAGCAAAAGGATATAGAAAGGTAAGAAATTTAAAGAGGCACCTTATTATAATTTCACTATAAGAGATACAAAACAACCCTTTAAAGTGACCTCACTCAGGGATGGATTCATAATCCTGTCTGTGAAAATGCGCTATATACCAGTCAAAACCCTGAAAAGATCTAAATCCTTATGATATAGAAATGATAGATTTATAAAACCTTTTTATTTAAAACACAGAAAAACATTCCCCCAAATCCCTATTTTAAATGTTTAGATCCTGTGTGAATTTTGAAAATGCAGGGAGCTTTAAAATAACTTCTTCTTTTATAGACAACATCACCATCTTCTGGCCTTATGGGATATTGCAGCCATGTTGCACTGATAATTATAGCCAAAAACCTATTGCATTTTTGTCCTTGCCTTACCCCTACCCCCTCCAGACAAGCACAGAGAATAAACTGAAGAATCCATGAGGTATAGGGCAGTAAATAAATCTCCAAGTAAAGATAATGAAGGGAAGTAGGAAGAGAGTGGAAGTGAAGAAACAAATCCAAACCTTATCTTTAAAACATGGACTTCCCCCCCCCAATACAAATTTATGAAAGCCCTTCTGTAGTATATAAACTTCCTGTGATTCAGTGCCATATTTTTCTTCCTAAAATGTATTTAAATTAAAAAAAAAAAAACACTTTTTGGGGCAAACACTTCACAAAATATGTAAATGTCTAATCTGTTGTACATCTGAAACTAATATATTGTATATCAACTATAATTGAAAAAGAAAAAATTTATCACTTAGGGAAGGAAAAAAACGTTATTTTAAAAAATATATTTTATTAATTTTTTTACAAGAGGAAAAGGGATAGCCAGAAACATCAATGAGAATCATCAATCAGCTGCTTCCTGCACACCCTACACTGGGGATGCACCTGCAACCAAGGTGCATGCCCCCCGACTGGAATCGAACCTGGGACCCTTCAGTCCACAGGCCGACACACACATCTACTGAGCCAACCGGTTTCGGCAAAAACTTTATTCTTTAAAACAAATTCACAAAAAGAATTTTTTCCTTTCCCAAGTGAATTTCTTGCCTTTGTGAGCTAATATGAAATTAAACTTGAGGCAAAATGACAAGTAGAATGTTATTTGATGTTTCTTCTGCATGCAGAAAAAATAAAAGGTAAACCTTAAAAATTCTGTTCTATTAAAAATCTAGTCATTAAAAACCTAAACACTTGATGCTTTTTTTGGACAAAGACAGTATAATTCTAGTACTTTTTGTCTGATTATCATAACCCTTTGAAATTTTATAAATCCTACCATCCATCATCACAGGACTCTTAAAAAGTAACTGTTGACAACTCAAAGGCTATCAGAAATCAATATATTTTCAGGGGTTCAAGAAATAATGTGGAATAACTTGGCACCTTTCCATTTTCTCAGGTTCAAATACCTTTTATATACAGTATATTTTGTCCCAAATACATCCATTTTTTTAATTCTGAGGCATCACTTTTATTTCTTTTAATACATTTTTATTTCTTTTAGAGAGAGAGGAAGGGAGAGAGATAGAGAAAAAGAAATATCCATGAGAGAGAACACTGATTGGCTGCCTCCTGCACACCCCCTACCGGGGATGGTACCCTAACTCTGGTCTGTACCCTGACGGGGAATAGAACCCAGGAGCTCTTGGTTCCTGGGTCAACACTCAACCACCGAGTCACACACCAGTCTGTGGCATCATCACTTTTAATAATTGTTCTATATAATTAAAATGTCTGAATAATTCAAATAAATATTTATATGTATTCTTCCAAGTGCTGAGAGATCTGTGAAAAATAGTGGCATGTTTACTCTGAATATGATTTTATGTTGATTTTGTACTGATTTAAAAAAATGGAATCCTTGACATTTTTTCTTATCTCATATTTACTTATCATCTTTGCAGAATAAATGTACTTCATGCTTCATACTCTGGATGTGCTGGCTGAGCTGCTCTGAGTCTTTCAGGGAGCACGGCCTTCAGGGAACACAATTGGCCTATGCAGCCCAAGCTTATCCCAGACACTCCCAGACAATTGCTCCTAAGAGACACATTCACCTAGAAAAGTGCACCAAAAAGGAAAAAAAATAGAACAGCGGTTGTTTTTTTTCAGTATCATAACCTAAATTTTCAATTGCCCACAATTATAATATCTTATAATTTTTTAAATATATATTTTATTGATTTTGTACAGAGAGGAAGGGAGAGAGATAGCGAGTTAGAAACATCGATGAGAGAGAGTCATCGATCAGCTGCCTCTTGCACACCCCCTACTGGGGATTTGCCTGCAACCAAGGTACATGCCCTTAACCGGAATCGAACCCGGGACCCTTCAGTCCCCAAGCCGACACTCTTATCCATTGAGCCAAACCGGTCTCAGCTAATACCTTATAATTTTACAGTGATAGTTTATACTTTCAAAGTGCTTTCTTTAGTTATACAACCTCTATCTTACAGATTAAAAAATACAGGACTAGTAAATGAAAGAGATGGTACTGGAATCCAGGGCTCTTACCAGCTGAGCTCTTTCTGCTGTGTTACAATCTCTCTCCAAACTGGCACAGAGCAAGAAAAAATGTCCTGACACTTCATCCTTCAGTCCACCAAACATGACAAGCAGATGCTTTAAAATTTGTACTTATTGATATGAGTGAATAAGCTTTTGATATTTTATACACTTTAAATGATGTGATACCCCATATCCTTGTGAATTCATTGGCAAGTAAGTTTCACCATAGAGTCATCTCCCCAGCAATTATCTTCCATCCCCATCAAAACATTGTAATTCACTCCTCTAAAGCTAATTCCACCAACAATCCTAAATGCAATTTAAAATGTATCTTTTATAATTTTGATAATCAGTTGAATATTAACCAAAAATCTTTAAAATTAGTCATGAAAACTAGCATGTGACCTTATATGCAGAACTAGAAGTACAAAGGCCAGAGAAGAACACAACAAAATTGGTTTTCCTCTGCCCTATAAACTTGTAAAGAATTAACTTTTTCTTTCCTGTGGCAAAGGTATACATTTATTGGAAAATAACCATTAATACCTTTTTTGCTAAGTTATATACTAAGCCGTTGTTTTCCACAACATTTTCATTCTGTAACATTTAAGTTTATATATTTACCAATTCTACCTTGAGATAAAGTTATAAACCCACTGGTAAAAATTGAGAAAAAGAGGAATAAGGTAAAGTATATGAACAGTGTATTCATGAGAGACTCTGGAAAATACAAGGACAAACAAGTCATGTTTCACCTTAAGGTGATTCTCCTTTGAAACAATTACTTTGTTTTAAATGTTTCTATTGATTTTAGAGAGAAAGGAAGAGAGACAGAAACATCAATGAGAAAGAATCATCATTTAGCTGCCTTCCCCATCCCCCCAATTATTTTTAAATCAACAAGGAGAGATAATATTCTGAATGTAGGTGGAATTATTAGCTTCAATTAGTTAAGATGATTTGATTTGGAAAAAACTGCATATAGATCTAAATTTTAGGCCAACTCAGTATTTTACACTTATGGAAATTTTAGTCTGGCATAATAAAATAGACTGGTATAATAGGGACAGAATTAAGTGTCTAGAAATAAGCACATATATCAATGGTAAACTGATTTTTGACAAGGTTGCTAAGACCATTCAACAAGGATAGAATCCTCTTTCTTTCCACCAAATGGTGCTAGGACAACTGGATATTCATATGCAAAAGAATAAAGTTAGAC